CTGCAGAGTAGAGGGCACTTCACATCACTATTGTGGGGAGAGTGAGGTGCAGTGTGATATAATTGGTATTTATCTCTGTGGTCTGCTTGCCACACTGGATTAAAACAAACCAAAAATTTCAAGGCTGATTGGCTAAAATGAGATGTGTAATTAGAGAGTAGAAAAGCTAAAGGAAATGAATGATGAACTTACCCAGTGTCACCTGGTCAAGTAGGTGATGGTGGACAAAGAGCGTGTGCCCAGGTGTGTCTGGATGTCTCCACTGCCCCTTGCTGCCCACCATATTGGCCTAATGTTTTCAACTCATGATGCTGAGAGTAGTTTCATTCTCATCATGCAGGGGATGAGCTGATTCAGAGCATGGTCATTGTTCCCACTGCTGTCTTCCCACAGCTAGGAAGTGGCAGAGGTTAGGTTTAAGCTCAGAGCTTCATACCATTGTTACTTTGGGGAGGGCTAAATGGTGGATGTTTTTGACCTGATGAGAATAGTAGGAAGGGGCAATTTGTGTGAGGAAATATTGGGCCAGGGTGAACCTTTTCAAGCTTATTGGTGTGAGTTAAGTCATTTCCCTAGAATGTTGGCCAAGCCTCAGGAACACAGCACGTGGGGATGTTGTTCATGTTCAATAAATGTCCGAGCATCCACAGATTTGTGGGTTTGTAAATCCAAATGAAGTGCTATTATTCAGGTTTCTTGGATGCTCAGGATTGCTAGCATTTATTTTTGAAGTTCTAATAAAATAGCTTATTCCTATTACCAATTAAATGCCTGGCTGAGAAAAGTAAGGTGATTTATATATCTTTTAATTAGTGAAATTGAGTGACTATGGCAATGATTAAAAATTCTTTTGTGGTGATAAGTTGTGGTGGAGGGTAGGAAGGGGAAGTGAAGGGTTTCTAAAACCCAGGATTTTTCCATGTGTGTTACATTTCCACAGGTTTGGGATGTTGCTGAGAGTACTTTTATGGCAATCAGTCTGTTTTTCCATAATTGTGATGACCTCTGAGTGAAGACTTGACTTGTAAAATTAATGATCTGATGAAGGCAGACTCTTTAATTAATAGAGCTGTACACAGGTGGATTAAAAAGACCAGCCTTCAAAAAGTGTTACTGATAGTATCAGTTTTCACCGGGGCGAATGGACCAAACTAGCATGGTTTTGTGTTTTTTCTCCCAAGCAGTTTCTGTGGGAGAGACAGACAGACAGATACACGCACAGAATATGAAGCCTCTGGGAGTCATGTTCATCTCTTTACCATTATAAATACTTTGGCCATTGTGATTAGTCACCCAGCCAGACTGCTCCATATCCCCTTTTCTGTTTGTTTCATTTTTCTTGATATCTGATTCCACCTACATGCCTGCTCTCAGATCTCCATAGCTACATCAAAATATGTATGAGAGGTTTGTTTTTACAGACAGGCAAATATGACCTTGCAGATGAGCTCCTTTCATTATTAAGTTTTACACAAAATGCTCTGAATACAAATTATAATAGCATCTACCCTGTAGGAGTGTTTGTGGGGACTAAAGATGATCATCCATCTGAAGTTCCGATCATAATGTATGACACGCACATAGGCCTGTTAGTGTCTGTCTCTTTCTTGCTTTCTGTGGTTCCCTGATTTGCTGTCTCCCTGTTGAGATGGTTCTCTTGAGTCCACTGATCATGATGGAGCCAGATCCGAATACCCTGTGCTCAGTTATTTTATACCTCTGTACCTCGTTCAGGTGCCGAACGCTTACTCTGTCCATCCTGGAAACAGTTCTTCTCTGGGTTTTGTGGCACTGTGTTATTTTGATTCCCCCCCTCCCACACCCCCCTGGCCTTCCTCATTTCCTTTCTTTTGCTCTTTGGTCTCCCTTTCTCTCCTTGTTGTCCAGAGAGGATGATCTCCGAGTTTCTGTGCTCAGTTCACTTAGGTTTTGCCAGCCATCTCATTTTCTTCTGTGGATGAAATTCAGATGTCCACCCCTGGCTTGACTTCTAGGGCTCCACACATCAACTTCTAACTGCATGCCTCGTACCTCTGCCTTGATGTCTCATGGCAGCTTAGATCCAACACGTCTAAAATGAAAACCACCCTCCCCTCCATTCTTCATTCATCCTCCTTCCACCTCTTCCCCTCTTACTCCCCCTCCCCTTTTACCCCTCCCCCATCTCCTTCCTCCTCCTCCCCCTCTATCCCTGGGTCTTTGGATGGTGAAGCCCCTCTCTCAGTACCCCCTCCCTTTACCTTAACATGTTGCTGCTTTTTCTCTCTATCTCCCATTAACCAGTGGGTAGTAATTTCTCATGGATTCAACCTTGATGATTCTCCTTGCATCTGCTTTTTCTTTTCTCTCTCTGCTCCTTGCATCATAGCTGCTCCTACTGCCGGCACCTACATAGCCGCTTGACTGACTCTAACAATGACTTACCACCTCCTATGTGTCTCTGTTTGCACCCAGATTTACGTTCCCTCATTAATCCCAAAGCGCACAGGTTTGGCCATGTCATATCTACCCCCCAAATCTTTCCTTGGCTCCCTGTTTTCTATTAAATTATGAAGACATACCAAAACTGTATACATGTCCTTTGGTATACCCCGTCAGTGGACACAAGGGTGCTGTTGTTCATATGGTCACAGATAATAGTCTATTTTGATGTCGACGTAGTGGCCCACTGGTGAGTGAAGTGTTATCAGTTTCCCTTTAATAAATGCTATGGACTGAATTGTGTCCCCAGCCAAAATTTGTATGTTGAAGCCCTAACTCCCAATATAACTGTATTTGGAGATAGGGCCTATATAACGGTAATTAAGTACAGTTAAATGGGGTGATGTGGGTGAGACCCTGATATGATAGGATTAGTGTCCTTATATAAAGAGACAACTGAGAGCGCCTTCTCTCTCTGTCCCTGCACACATGCACAAAGAAGAGGTCGTGTGAGTACACAGCTGGAAGGCAAGCCAGGAAGAGAGCCTGCAACAGGACCTGACCCTGCTAGCACCCTCATCTTGTCTTCCAGCTTCCAGAACTGTGAGAAAGTAAAGTTCTTTTTCTTATGGAAGCTCAAGCTGACTAACACAAATCACAGACACTTACTTTCGGTCTTTTGTGTGCCTGGCACAGGACATCTCGGGAAGTGTGGCCCCCTGCCGTTATACAGTTTAGGTAAGTCCCCTTGTCCTTGCCCTGTTACTCTGCAGCTTTCTGTCAAAATGTAAGAGCAAGACACTGTGTTGTCATTGAGTTTAAAAAGATAATGAAGAGCTTATATCTTAGGAGGAAAGAAAGAGAAATGACTCAGTGGGAGTTGAATCTGCCCACATGCTGAAGGCACGTGTGTAGCTGAAATGATGTTCTAGGCAAGCAATGTAAGGAATAGATTATAATATTAATTACCCTTCAGCTCAACACAGTTCAGTTTTTTTCTTTAAAAAATTTTTTGATTATAAAAGTAAGAAGTGAAAAATACCTGTACCTCATAGAACATTTAAAAGTATAGTACGGAAAATTTGTAAAGCAATAGGATGAAAGACACTCATAATCTTACAGATAACTTTTATTCCTTTTTTGTTTTTTGTTTTTTGAGACAGAGTTTTGCTCTTGTTGCACAAGCTGGAGTGCAATGACGCGATCTCAGCTCACTGCAGCCTCTGCCTCGGCCTCCTGGGTTTAAGCAGTTCTCCTGCCTCAGCCTCCTGAGTAGCTGGGATTACAGGCACCTGCCACCACCCCCGGCTAATTTTTTGTATTTTTAGTAGAGATGGGGTTTCACCATGTTGGTCAGGCTGGTCTCAAACTCCTGGCCTCAGGTGATCTGCCTGCCACAGCCTCCCAATGTGCTGGAATTACAGGCATGAGCCACTGCCCAGCCCTTTTATTCCTTTTTAAAAAAGTCTTTTTTAAAAAACATGTCTTTTCATGAATTTTTAAATATTTGTATACTGTTTTCTGTTTTATGGATATAAGATAATTTTCTACCTCTTTAAACATTTAGGGTATTTTCTTTTTAAGTTTTTTAAAAACTATTTTTAAGAATATGATGGACATTTTTGTACATACATTTTTTTTCCCCCAAAATAATTTCCTTCAAACAGACTCCTTGAAGCAGAATTACTTGGTCAAAGGGCATAAGCATTTTTGCGGATATCCTACTTACCACTGATGTTTGAGTTCTTTCTGTGTGAGCAAGGGTCACGTTTGGCTTTGGCATCGTGGGTGGAGGTCTGGGGACAGTGAGATGAAAATGAGATGTGACCACTACCCCTATAGAGTGCGTGTAATTTACCAAGGAGACATACCCATAGGTATGGAAGCTTTGAGAACCTTTTACTTTGTAATTTACATCGTCTTCCTGAAACAACACGAAACAAGCTAGCACTTGGAAATATCTTGACCTTGGCTTTGGTACGTTTTCTGGGATTTTGGGGCCATCTTTAGACTCATAAGTGGGACAGTCATGCTTTCAGTAAGAAAGAAACATACTCATATTTAATAAGCCATGTTCAGTTTTAAAAACTAGATTTGTGAATGTTATATTGGTGTACTTCTCTGAGGAAATTTTGATTAGTGGTCAAAAAATTATGAGCATGATAATTTACTTCCTTTAGCCACATACTGCTATTTCTCAAAGAGATTTTGCCAAAAGAGGATTGCTTTAAACTATCTAAATGTAAGCTTAGCATGTATCCAGAAAAGTCCACAGCTCAGAAGTCCACAGCTTGATGAATTATCACACAGTGAACACGCTTATGTAATCACAACACAGGCCAAGCCATAAAAATTATTAGCATCCCAGAAGGCTCCCTTCTCATCTCTAGCCCTTCCCTCCTCTCTTAAGGCAACCATTCTTCCTCAGTTCCAGCAACCTGGGTTTTGCCTCCTGTTAAGAAAAATTTTTAATCATTTTGGAAACTTACTTTAAAAATTAAATTCAAAGGGTCTAGCTAATCTACCTGCGTATCCCTTATCTATTATGGTATAACAAATCAATCATCCCAAGCCTTTGAGACCAAAGGTGACAATAGTGTTTATTTCTTGTGACTCGTGGATTGACTGGTTGGTGCTGTTGTCCTCTCCTGGGCTTACTTGTGCAGCTACATTCAGGGCTGGGATCACAGGGCCCCTTCCCATGTGGTCTTTCATCCTGGGCTTCTACATACTGTGGCCACTTCAGGGCAGCTTTCCAAAAGGACAGAGCTGGAGGCTTCTGTCCTCTTGAGGCCTAGGCTTTGGAATTTGCATAGCCTCACTTCTGCCATATCCTGTTGGCCGAAACAAGTAGCAAGAGATCCAGTTGTATCCCAGACTCGAGAGAGTGGAGAAATTGCCTCCAACTCTGAATTGGGGGGAATGACAAAGTCACATTGCAAAGGAACATGCCATTAGCAATCTACCATATCATCCGAAAAGTGCTATGATCCTGTATAGACCAAGTTTATTGTTAGTACAGAACGCTAATATTGAGGCTCTGCTCCACTTGGTTCACGTGTGAACAGTCAGTTGACAGAGCCAGGATGCGTGGGGCTGGTAGGGGATGTGTTGTCTCTGTCTAATAGAATAGGGATCAAAAATAGAAGAGCTTTTGAGGATCGCTTTTATTTATTTATTTATTTATTTTTTGTAGATCAAGTTTGAACTTTACTAAATCATTTTCTTTTTCTTGATGTTTCGTTCATTGCTTCAAATAGCCCCTGCTTATCTCATGAAGTGATTTGAAGTCAATGCTTTAACAACATGAAAACTTTTCTGGAGTTAAAATGACTGTTCTTTAAAGCACATTGTACCTTAACCCATCAGAGGTAGAATTTATGGTATAGAAAAGTCTTCTTTTTCTTCTGACTCTAGACGCCCAGTGTAAGACAGTATTCAGATGGCCCCATTCATTTGACTCCTGGGTCTTGCAATCTTTATCAGAGTGAAATAGTCAAGGTAATACCAAGAAGAGTCTCTGACTCATCAAAAACCTCCAACTGACATGTTACTCAGATAGATGCTTATAGGGTGCTTAAGTCTCATGTTTTCTTTGACTTGTCTTTTTACCCAGGTGTCTTTTCAGAATGGGGGGAAATGGTGTTTTGGATTTCACTTGGTGATTTGGTAATGATAGTAGGAAGGTTGGGTCCTTTTTATTGAGCATTTTCTATGTTCAGGGAGTTCACTGAGCTTAGTGCTTTTCATACGTTGTCTTACAGAGTTTGCGGGGGACAAATTAGGTAATCCATGGTTAGCACATGATACATAATAAAAGCTCAATAATGGTTAGCCACCAACACCAAGAGATGGATAATAATAATTTTCATTTAATTGAACACTTACTATGATCTAAATTAGATTCTATTTGTGTTATTAACTTGTATGATCAAATCATCACAAAACCCTCTAAGATTAGTTTTAGTATTATACACATTTTTATATTAGGAAATCCAGGTACAGAGAGTTGAAGTAATTCACAGAGTTAGTAAATGGCAGAGCCAGGATTTAAACCCAGGCCAGGGCATCTGAATCCAGGTCATTGGTACCTTTTCTTGGTTCTTGGGAATGGAATCTTCATGTGCATTGACTTGGTGTCTGGATTGTTGGAGAGCAAAAGTAAGATATCAGCCCACTTCCCTCCTCTAGTGTTTAATTCCAGGTCCAGGCATCCTGGGCAGGGGCTGTGAACTGGTGATGCCAGGTTGCTGCTTCACTCACTTAATGATCTCCCTGGGGTTTTGGCTTCTCACTTATGTGGTTCATTCTTCCCCTGTGAAGAGAGGAGCTGGCTTCCTTAAATCCTGACAGCTTTTTTCCCCTATGATGAACCAGTCATATAAAACATTTACAACTTTTCCTTTTTCTCAATGCTAGAATTCAAGATACTCTGTAAGGCAGGAGCTCAAAGCCCTTTACCTGGGCTAATTAGACCACCTATGCTAATTAGACCACCTCTTCTCATTTCTGTGTGTGAGGCTTCAAGTAAGAGTCTCCCAGTCTCCCCTGCAGTCAGTCTGAAGTAATTGCCATAGTTTTCCTTGGCATCGCTGGGTATTTTGAGGCACCTCGAAGGGCTTTGTCTCTGGGTTACTTAGAAGCGTAAGGATTAAAGTAGAATTGCAGGGAACCCCAGTTTTAGTCTCACCATGGAGTAGTTTGAAGGATTTTGAAACTCTGCAAATATAAATGAGACTTTGTGGTTCATTTTTTGATTGCCACCCTTCCCAATTTAGAAAACCTTTTGATCAGATACCATATTAGGCATTTTACAGATATTATTTCATGTATTCTTTAATTCTGCGATTTGTATTACTGTACCTACTTTCCAGACATGGAAGCTGAAGGACAATTATGTAACTTGCCTCAGGTCAGGTAGGTGGGAAGTAGCCCAGGTGGTACTGAGATCAGAGCTCAGGTTTTTCTGATTTCAAATCCTGTTTTTTCCTGGGTGACTTAACCCACTGATGTGTCCTTCAGGCGCCCTTTAAATCCCCCACAGAGCACATTTGGAAACCAGAACAGTTTTTGTCTAAAATTCATTACCTGGAACTTCTGTAGTCAGTAGTCGTTCTCCTCCTCATCCTCTTTCCATTTTTTCCTCTGAGTTCCTGGGATGAAGTAATGAAGCTTGGAGGCAAGAAGGCCTGGGATTAGGTTTCTTTTAAGATACTTGGCAAGAGAAAACAGAAGGGTAGACGTCATGAAAAAGTTTCCCATTGTATCTCAGCTCAGTGGAGGATACTCTGTCGAAAGGTTCAGTTCTTCCCATGAGAGGAATTAAGGAAGGGAAGAAAGACCTTGGCAAAATTGTTTTTTTTTTTTGTTTTTTTTTTTCCACCCTCTCCCTCTGACCAGCCTCAGTGCTTTGTGTTCACTTCTGCTTTCCTCTTCTACCACCTACACTATGTTCCTCATAGTGAATACCTCATTCTAACCTGCTATCTTGTTGCTCTCAGATCTCACTTGAGCTTCACTTGGAGATATGAAGAAGGCCTGCTTGTTAGGCTTGCAGTGGCCAGCTGTGCCTGCTTCTCCTGCCTTGTGGCCTCTACTTGCTCTTTGATACTTTGTGCAGCTGTGGAGCTTAAGAGTGAGCTAGTCCTATCTTTTCTCTGCAATAGAGGATAATTTTGACTGTGAAATCAGTTTTCAGTATTTTGTAAGATCCATAATTCTTCTCATTCCTTTTTGGGCATCATGGTTTATGAGATTCTGGATCGGCAGCCTTGGTAGAATATTTATATATTTATACCCCAACTTATTCTCTTTTCCTAGGACTAACTCAAGCAATTCAAAACAGTTTTGCCCCTCACGTTGTTTCAGATGGAAGCAGAATTAAAGAATAGTTATTTATGTATATAATTTCACAATAATCAGATCTTTCATTTTTCCCCACAGGGATATTGGCAGATAGCAATCAGAGTGTTTGCAGGTATGACATGTTGAGGGGAGGCCGGGCACAGTGGCTCATGCATGTAATCGCAGCACTTTGAGAAGCTGAGGTGAGTGGATCACCTGAGGTCAGGAGTTCGAGAGCAACCTGGACAACATGGCGAAACCCCATCTACTAAGAATACAAAAATTAGCCAGGTGTGGTGGTGGGCACTTGTAATCCCAGCTACTTGGGAGGCTGAGGCAGAGCATTGCTTGAACCTGGGAGGTGGAGTTTGCAGTGAACCGAGATTGTGCCACTGCACTCCAGCCTGGGCTACAGAGTGAGATTTTGCCTCAAAAAAAAAAAAAAAAAAAAAAAGTTAAGGGTAAAATATTGATTGATTCTGTAATAATGTTTGTATGGTACCTTAACAAGGAACTGGGTTTTGCATTTTTCTTCCTTGTTATAGCCAAGCCTTTATTGTTCTTACCTTTAGATTGAACAAAGAAATACAAAGGAAGTGAATTTTATAATAAGATGGCCAAAGGCATAATGATATACTAACACAGGTGTGAGGTCAGGTAAATCTAGGATAGAATCTAGGTTTAGCTACACTTATTGGCTGTGTCACCTCAGAAAGGTTGTTGAACTTCTCTGAGTTTTGCTTTTATCATCTTGAACAATAATGTCTATATTTTGAGATAGCTGTGACCGTTAAAATAATTAAATGAATTCATAAGCAAATGTCTTGCATATAGTGGGGCCTAGAACATTATAGTTCTTACTTTGTTTGCTACAAATGCAAAGAACAAGCTGGTCTGAGGGACTTGTATCTGGTAGTCATGCTGTGGGATCAACTTTGGAAAAAGAGATAGCTTTGGAGTTTTCTAGTCTGAAATTTTCATTATACAGACAAGGAAACAGACTCAGAGAAGGTAAATGACCATGTCAAAGCTGTAGAACTAGATAGGGACAAAGCTGAGACAAGAACTCAGTACCACTGACTCTTAGCTTATGGTCTTTTTATGGCATCATGACTGATTTGGTCTAGATGTATATCAGCATCTCTAGGGCAGGATTTCCTAAAATCACCTGGGAAGGAGTAGTGCTGATGTGGTTAAAAAGGTGTGTTCCTGGACTCCATCCTAGATTAATGACTCAAATCTCGGGAGTCTAACCAGGGATCTGCATTTTAACAAACATCTTAGACGATTCTTATGTATCTTGTAAGTTTACATTTATTTTGTAATGTAATACAAAATACATTACAAAGTGAGTTTGAGATGAGTTATTTGAGTTCACTGAGTTTGAGTCTCTCTGCTCTGCTGCTGTAATTAGGAGTTGATTTTCACAGTTTTCTGGGCACCTTCAGGCACTTAAAGAGTGCCTGGCACATAGCAAGCACCTTATAAGTGTTAGCTATAATAGCCCCATTTAAGTGTTATAATAATCCTTTGAAGGTTTTTGATCTCTTTTACAGGTATAGAAAACTAATGTACAGCTCAGTCATGTAACTTGCCCAAGGTCATCCAGCTAACAATTGACAGAGCTGATGCTGGAACTCGGCTGTGTGTCTGATGCTGAAACCCATGTGGGATAGTAGATTTTTTTCAATAAATATTGGAAGTTAAAGGATTTTTCTCACTAAAAGAATACCCCTCTGGGTTTGGTTGATATAGTCTGTTGAGACAGATCTAAGACAGACCTCATATAGATCAAATAATTCCTATTCTGGTTTATTCAAAACCAAAAAGTTCTGGAATGAGGCTTTCCTGAGAGTTAAGCAAGCTGGCAAAAATAATTTGTTAAAATGGGAAAGTTTTTATTTTCAGTCTCTGTGCAAATGAAATGGACGGTTGGATGGTTAAGGGAGAAAGTGGCAGCTGGCCGAAGAGCTTGACTCAGTTTCTTCAAGTCCAAAGAGTTCAGAGACTAGAGACCTTGGGGAAGTTTTATGTGCTGTCAAATTTTGTGGAGTGTGTGTGAGTGTGTGTGTGGTGGGGGCAGACTCTGAGCTAGCCTCTGGAGTCATGCATTTATTTTCCCCATGTTCTTTGGTTGAGGCAGTTGCAGTGCTCCAGCCAGGTTCAAGGGAATATAGACCCCACTGCCTGGTGGAGGAGTGTCTCTGCCTTATTCACCATTAAGAAAAATATGTGGGATGAAATGTATGATGGCTGTGGCAATCTTTGGGAAATAGAATCTGCAGCACGTGTTGACTCTACTTGTGCTAAATAGGTTCATTCAAGGCCTGGGTAGTTTATTGAGGTCCTTTATCCTCATAGTCAGCTTGGTTTATGGATTTAAACCAGGCAGATGTTAAAAAGGCTAAACTTAAACAGTTTTTGGGTGGAACCTGAACTGTGTTTACTCAAAACCATGTAAATATAAGATGGGGAGTGGCTGGCAAAGCCTTACCTCATCATGAAGGAATAATACATTGTTTTTTTTTTTTTTTCTTTTAGTAGGGAATAAATCCTTAGTCTGTCCAGGATCTTAGGCAGTTCATAGTCAGTGTTAGTGTTTTTTTTTTTTTTGACAATTGTTTAATAGGGTCTAAAATGTCTTAGGGGTTTGTGAACAAGACAGGCAAGATTCTACTCTTATGAACCTTTAAGTCTTGTGGAAAAGACAGACAGTAAACAAGAAAATGGTTAAGAATTGTAGTTATAAGGTTCTCCTAGGTAATGAATGAAGAGAGCCCATGGCAAGTGGTAGTTGTCATGATCTTATTTGAGCCTAGTTGGTCAGTAAAGGCATCAGAAAAGCCATGTGGGGAGTTTCACTTAGCCTCTTCTCTGGGGTCCCTGTGTGTGTACTACACTCAGGAGTTGAGATGAAATTGTCAGGGAACAAACATGGACTTGTTCACAGAATCCTAGAATAAAAGCTAGATTAACCACCCCTTCCATCTCTACTCTGCCAGTTCTTTTTCTCGCCTTCCTCCTACAAAGAAAGGTTCAGTAGAGGTAATGTAAGAACATGAAAGGAAGTAGTACTTTCACACAGTAGACAGTAAACACGTGGAATTTATGTGTCTTCCTTGAGACGGAAAGTGTAAAAAGATGGAGATTTTATAAGATCATGAAAACTGGATATGTAACAGGTTATTTAGGGAAGTTAGTAATATTCTGATCTGTGTCTCACCATTTAAATATATCCGGGGGCCTCCACTTGATTTCTTGTCCTCATCTTACCCCAACCATCAATATTAATTGCTTGCCTTCTTCACTTAAGCCTCCGGGGTCTGGGGATAAAACAACATTCAGTGTTCCTACCTTCATGTAGGCAGACGAAGAAGAAAGCACTGAGGCAAAATCACTGTAAGTTATCAACTAGGAAAGAAACAAATTCTGGGTGATAGGGAAGGATTAATGTCAGATGAAGTGTCAAGACCTGTCCCTGAGGAGGTGACCACAGGTTTCAGATCTCATGGTGCTAGGCCGAACACCTAGATTGGAAGATATTTTAGGCCAAATCCAGGGCATCATTGACATTATGTTTATGGCATAATTGAGGAAAGATCGGATGGGATCTGAGGATGCAGTGGTTCCTGCAGTGTATTGAATCCTTGTAGCCTTCATGTTGAATGAGAATCTTTTTTTTTTTTGAGACGGAGTTTCGCTCTTGTTACCCAGGCTGTAGTGCAATGGCGTGATCTTGGCTCACCGCAGCCTCCGCCTCCTGGCTTCAGGCAATTCTCCTGCCTCAGCCTCCTGAGTAGCTGGGATTACAGGCACGTGCCACCATGCCCAGCTGACTTTTTGTATTTTTTTTTTTTTTTTTAGTAGAGACGGGGTTTCACCATGTTGACCAGGATGGTCTCGATCTCTTGACCTTGTGATCCACCCGCCTCGGCCTCCCAAAGTGTTGGGATTACAGGCGTGAGCCACCGCGCCCGGCTGAGAATCCTTTACCCTAGCTGGAGGTGACTGTTTAGCCACGTTGAGTGTGGGCAACCCTGCAAAGCTCCTTAGCCTCTGAGCCCCAGGTCTGATGGAAACTATAGATTTCTTGGCTCTGCTGAAAGCTTGTCCCGTGAGTGCAAGGGAGCAAGAGATGTCAGAGGCCTGACTTCATCTTGGCTACTGTTTTTGTTGGAGGGCAGTTGCTAAGCAACACATCCCTCTGGCTGGAGTGAAGGAGATGGCCTGCGGAAGAGGGTGGAGGCAAGGAAAGTCGAGTAGTGCGTGAGTTGTGTGGAAGGATGACTTCTAGGAACAAAAATCCTTAGAGAGATTTTCATTTTCAGAGGGAGATTCTGTTGCAGAATTTCCCGTGTTCATTGTGTCTACCTCTCCCCACCTCTCTTGTGAGCGCTGTTCTTGGTTTAGGGGTTCATAGACTTTTGCTTGTTTGGTAAGAGCTATGCAAACCTCCAGGTCTGGTGGTAATTACTGAAGCAAGGTGGCCTGGTATATGAGAGTACATTTTCCCTTGTACAAACCTTCAAGGGGAAAGGGCCTGTAAATGAGAACATTTGGTTCAGATTATTTTGATTTGTGTTAATGGGTTGGTTCCAAAGTCATGATTTGCTTTGGGGTATCTAATGGAGAACACTTGCAGGGTGTTACATGTTTGCTTTTTTCAAGCGGCCTTGCGTTCTTCTGGGGTCACCTTTCCTTATTCTATAGATACTCTACTAACATTTCAAGAATTTTATTGTGTTCTGAAGAAGCATGTTTCTTGAAATTGTTCTTGAAAAGAGAGGAGTGTGGAGTGGTCCGGGTATGTAGTCTGTGGGACAGAAGGTTTGTGGCTGCTTCTCCCATTCCTTTAACCTGTTAATATCCACCTCGTCCATACTTTGTGTCATTTATGCCCCTGCCTTGTATACTTCTAAGCAGAGCTGAATTTCTGGTTAGGGCAGTTTATTCTTGGGTTCAGCACCCAGCACAAGAAATCTTGTGGAGTAGGATAGAATGGAATAAGTTCATTCTTATGTTTTGGGAAGGACTAAGAGAAAAACATGCCTAGAGGTCCCATGGGTAAAACCCAATAATTGATTTAAAAATGGGTAGTACTAGAGCATGGGATTTAGAAATCTGTCTTGTCGCCTCCCAGCCCTGTGTCCTTGGGCAGGCTACTTAACATTGCTAAGGCCAATTTCCATTTGTAAAATGAAAATGGAAATTCTTTCAATATTTCATTTGGAGGATTATAGGAGGTAATATATACAATAGGCTTAGCATGTAATTGTTTAATAAATGAATGGCAGCTGTTACTGTTAATAATTGTCTTATGTGTGGAGACTTCAGAGATTATACTAGTAATGGTATATTCTGGTGGGGCAAACTCATGAAAATTATCTTCCTTGAAGAATCACATCAGTTAGATGCCTTTCTTGTATGGATGTAGGGGACGTGAGTCAAAGGTCTCCCCAAATTTTGTTCCCCCATACCCTGGCTTTTTCCTCTGTTGGCATATCTGGCTCAGAAGTGGGCCTACCCCACCTTTGGCAACTTCTTTTACTTATTTTCTGGGTTGCTTTCTATGTCTGGAAAAGCTTGCCATGAATATTCCCTATCCCCTGTAATCACCCTAGAGGTTTCCAAGACCTCTTGGCACCTCAGAAGATGTTGGATGGTTGGCGCTGGGACCCAGGCATGCTCCCAAGTCTCTCTGGCTGCCGCTGCTGTTGGCTTCTCAAGCATGCAGCTGTGGGAAAGAGTGTGATCACTCCTGGGAGCCAAATTGAGGCCTCTGCCTTTCTGACACTGAGTGGAGTTCAGGGATGCAGGGACATAGGCTCATTCAAGCAATTAATGTGGGGTTCATCCACATAAAGATGACACCTTTGGTTGCTAAGGCACTGTCTCCCAAAAAAAGAAAGAAAGTCTCATTTTTAGCTTGCATGTAATGACACTTGTCAAGTATCTTACTATATATTATCTCACTTAGTACCCACAACAGTGGAAGGAGACAGTTATCATCTCCAGATGAGGAAACCAAGGCTCAGGAGTGCACCGCTTCCCAAGACCCTGTAACTAACAATGGCAGAGCCAGGATTCAGCTCCAAGAATGTCTGAGGTCAAAGCTCAGGCTCTTCATCACCACATCACGGTGTCACCTTTGGTAGTTGCTAGAGTGGAGTGGCATGATATCAGCTCACTGCAACTTCCGCCTCCGAGGTTCAAATGATTCTTATGCCCGGCTAATTTTTTATGTTTAATAGAGACAGGGTTTTGCCATGTTGGCCAGGCTGGTCTCGAACTCCTGACCTCAGGTGAGCTGCCTGTCTTGGCCTCCCAAAGTGCTGAGATCACAGGTGTGAGCCACCATGCTCAGCCTGAGAAATTGCTTTATATTGCTCTTTCCCAGACATTCTTGTTTTCCCTGTATGAGTTGGCGGTTTGAAAGCTTTTTTTTTGAGGGTGGTGTCAAAGACATTGAAATATGATGAAAGTTCTAAACTGTCTCCCAAGAAAATTCATGTTTACCCAGAATTCATCTTCAATTTCAGAAGGTTCAGGACCTTCTAGAACTCTTTGAGAACTCCAGAATAAGAATATTTTTAGGCTGGATGTGGTGGCTCATGCCTGTAATTCCAGTAGTTTGGGAGGCCGAAGTGGATGGATCACCTGAGGTCAGGAGTTTGAAAACAGCCTGGCCAACATGGTGAAACCCTATCTCTACCAAAAATATAAAAATTAGCCACACGTGGTGGTGGTTGCCTATAATCCCAGGTACTTGGGAGGCTGAGGCAAGAAAATCGCTTGAATCTGGGAGGTGGAGATTGCAGTGAGGTGAGATCATATCACTGCACCATAGCTGGGGCAACAGAATGAGACTTCGTCTCAAAAAACAAAAAAATCCCAGCACTTTGGGAGGCCAAGGCAGGTGGATCATGAGGTCAGGAGATCAAGACCATCCTGGCTAACACAGTGAAACCCCATCTCTACTAAAAATACAAAAATTAGCTGGTCATGGTTGCACACTCCTGTAGTCCCAGCGACTTGGAAGGCTGATGCAGGAGAATTGCTTGAACCCAGGAGGTGGAGGTTGCAATGAGCAGAGCTCATGCCACTGCACTGCAGCCTGGGCAATAGAGTGCGACTTCATCTCAAAAAAAAAAAAAGAATGCTTTTAGTCGATTGTACGATTGTAGTGCTGCTTTCGGGCCATTCCTCATCTGCTCTTTGATGCCTGCTGACCTTAGCTGAGGCCAGCATACATGGAGGAGCCCTCCATGAGGACTGGAGGGACGCACTTCCTTTTCCTCTTCTCCTTTTGCTAATAAGCAGCCTCCTGATTTCTTGGCCCCAGTGTTGCTGCCCAGAACAAGCACCAGGAATGTCCCCAGGAGCTGCAGCTCTTGAGCAAGGCTGTTGGGAAAGCAGGGAAAATCAGTCTTTTTCTTCCTCGGTTGGGTTATTTCAGGGGTGAGAGGAGAGGGAGCCGCAAAGACTCTGGGATTTTAGGAATAACCAAGCTACTGTGTGTTGATCATCTGTTCTGTGCCAGGAACTGTGCCTAGGTGGTTTGCATCCATTATTTCTTATCCTGACAAGAATGCTTCCAAGTGGGTATTTGTTATCACCCTTACTTTACAGATGAGGAGGCTGAGACTCAGAGAAGTTATGAATAGCAAATGGCCAAGGTGGGAGTCAGGTCAGGTCTCTCAAATCATGGAGGTCTTCTGTGCCTTGCGGCTACCCTAGATGGAATCAGGCCTCTGGGGTAAAGGGTAACTTCATGCCCTTTGCCGATAAAGGAAATGCTTTTCCTTTCTGGTGACCAGACATCCGCAATTACTGTCTTTGTTATGTGCTCTAGATGGCCTCAGTGCTGAACTGCAGACTCTTGTATTTTTAGAAAAGGAAGAGCCTTCTGTGTGTACTGTTTATGTACAGACACATATCAGTTTCTGAATACTAAAATCAGCTAAAGCAGCTGAGTGTCAGCTTTGGCTGGTGTCCAGATACTGGCGGCCCTGTCTTCTGGCTGGCAGGTCCTTACCATGATGGCTTCAGGGACAGAACTGACCCCTCATGTCTCTTTTCCTGATAGACTAAGCTCTGAGTCCCCACAGAGACGTTCCTCTACTTCTTCCCCAAGTCTGGACTCGCCGCTAGCTCAGCTCCTGGCTTGTCAGCAGCTGGTCAGGCTGCATCCCTTTCTTTTTTTCCATTTCCCTGCTTACATTTTCTCCTTTTTTGTTTCCTCACTCCCACCTCACTCAAATGCCTTTTTTCCTCCCTGAGACCAACTACATTTTTATTTTTATTTTTTGTTATAGTCAAAGAGATGTATTTTGTGCACTGCAACAAAATGCTACTTAAGGTATTCATGTGTGAAAACCATGCATTGGTTTCATGGGAGGGCAGTGCACGGTGGCGTTTGGGTCTCTCTGTATCACTATTGTCTGCTCACATTTATAGCTGACTCATGTTGAGCTGTATGCCAGACCCTTGCTTTGTGTATTACCTGTTGAGCCACAGTTACCTGTGTAAGGGTGGCTCTGGTATTATCTCATGAGCCTGAGACCTTTCCAAGGTCACATGGCTGCAGTTGTGTCTGAGCACAGAGGGGTGCTGAGGTGCATGTATCCAGTGAGGAGGAGTCACCAGTGCATAGGCGGGAGGGTGGGGCACCCTACCTTTGGTGCCTGTCTCTTGCTCCCAGCGGAATGTCTTTTGGCGTGGTCCAGGGGAGCCAGAATTTCAGGTCTTTTTGAGGATTAGTCTGTTTGACCTTCTTCTCCTCTCTGGGAAAGAGGATTTGGATGGGATTTCCTTTCAGTGGGGATTGTGTCTTAGTGAGGGCTGCAGAACTGGGCCTGATGCTGCTGGGATGTGCTGTGTCATTCCTACTCACTCTTCTGCTGTGACCGCCCCTACTTCTTCCCCTTTATACCCTAGAATGAAGGCTGCATCTCACAGACATTTGGGAGAAAAAGAGATTTACATCTTGTACTGTCCTGTGAGGATCTATATATAGGATATTGAGTAACCACTTGTAAGACACTTTGGTATCTTATTTTGGTAGTTTGACTGATGTCCTTTAGTCTTGTTTTCTCTTTCTTCATTTATTAATTCATTATGTATTGATTAGTATGCTTAAAGCATATATGTATGTGAATAACTCATCCTTAAAGGAGGATACCATGGGGGACAGTGAGACCCAGAACCAGTCGGTGTGCTAAGGACTTTTCATGTCTCATCTCAGAACAACCTTATGAGATGAGTAGGAACCAAAGAAGGGGTCTGCAAAAAAAGAGGTAACGGGTAGTAATTCATGAAGGGCCACATGTGGGGCTTCCAGAGTGAGAATCTCAGCTCTGTTGCTTGCTGTCTGTGCACCATGGGCAGATCACTCTGCCTCTCTCACCTTCTCTTTTCTCATCTGTGAAATGGGGATAACAGTGCCTATCTCATAGGATTTTGAAAGTCAAATGAGACAATGTTTGTAAATTCATAGCATTTCTCTGGTACACGGTAAGATCTCAATAAAAGGTGGCTATTTTTAAGTTGCTATTATTAGATATTGTTATCTCCTTGTTTTTAAGATACGGAACCTGAGCCTTGGGGAAGCTGCCTCAGCTTAGGTCACACAGCTAATACAGCAAAGGATGGTGATGTCTTAACTGCCATTAGGTGGCACAAATAGAGTACCACGAAGAGGCTCAAGGGAGAGAAGCAGCACCTGTGTTGTGTAGGTGGTGAGCAGTGGTGCAGATGGACTGGCATGGGCCTGGGGGGACCCCATGGAGGAGATGGCGTTTGGAGGATTGGCCCATCTGGATACCTGGAGGTGGCGAAGTGCAACCTTGTTGGTGGAGAGAACATCAGGACAGACACTCAGCGATGAGAACTGGGTTGTGTATGAGCTCAGGCATCCTCTGATTTAGAGCAGAGGTGAGGCTGTGTAAGCTTATGAGGGCACGGGCTGGGCTGGGTGAGTTCTGACCTAGAAGAGTGCCTACCCCCTGGGAGGGGCTCCACACACAGTTGTTCAATCCAATTGAATGGCAGTGTCTGGAGGTGGCAAGCTTTAGTTGGTGGAGGGGAGTGACCAGGGAGAAAGGAATTTTGAACTTCAGTTGGAAAAGTTGATTTCTGCTCACAGTGAGACGTGGAATTCTTTCATTTGTACGGCAAAAGGCTAGCTCTCTCAGCCACCTGGTATTTAAACTGTAAGTTGCTCTAGACACTAGTTTTGGTTTTACCTAGACAGTGAATCAGATACTGTCTGAGCTGTTTGATCGGCATTGCTCATGGTATTGGGAGGTTATAGGACTGGGTGGCCATTTCTCCATGGGGTCTTTTAAATTTAAGACCATGGAAGCTTGAGCCAAACAAAAGCTTGTTTGAAGTAAATATCGTGTGTGGCCCTGTGGTTTTCCCAATCCCATTTCCCTCCTTCACTCCCTTCCGTTTCTTCCTTGTTTTCTGTGGTCAGATTCTCACCATAGGTGGTTCTCAAGCCTTGGCTCATCAGCTGAGCGCAGATGCTCCTCACTTCCTCTAACCTATGTGTTAGAGAAGGGCTGTGTGTGCATCTTAGTTGTGTAGATGGGGTGGAAGCTGCCGAGGTGAGCACAGTGTGGAAGAATCTTGCCTACAGTGAGTCCTTAGGGAGGCAAAGGATGGCATTAGGTTTGAACATCTGTATCCTGGTTCTGCATATGATTCTTTGCATGGTTTTTATACGTTAGGTTTTCCTGTAGCAGGCTACAAGATCGGAAGCTCCTTAAGACAGGGGCCTGCTCCCTCACTGTATGTAACCTAGCCATGGCTTGTGGGAATTAACCAGTGGGCATCCGATTTATGGGCCAGGCAGCGCCTTTTCCGCCTACTTGGTTTCTTGGTCTTACTAAGTAATGACTGTCAGAGGACAAACATGGGTGTGTTAGAGATCTCAAGAGCAATTAGTTATCTTTGCACTAAATTGGTTTTAAACGAGAGGTAATGATCTGAAATTTACTGGAAGTCTCTTCTGTGCTGTTTATTGGTTCCATGGTGATACCGTTCCCAACTCTAACTTGATTTTTTATCAAATATGTTTATTACCCTCTTCTTTGAGCCACAAACAACACTTTAGAAAGGCATAAAGGGATGGGAGTCAAGGTCAGCAGTTTTGAAAAATGATTTGAAAGATCGAAACCATCTCAGGATAATTTTCACTAGCTAAAGCAATTCCAGTAGGTTTTCATTGAGGAGTAGGTGTGGACTCTTTTTTTTTCACCCATGGGTAAGACAGGTTCTCACACCCAAAAGACCCAAGACTTCAGAGCAGGGGAGGCACATCTCTTGTCTTTCCCCTCCCAAAGCATTCCCATTTGTATTTGGCTTGTCTTTTAAAAAGGCAAGTGGTGCTTAGCCACCATGTGATTTTTCTAAGACTCCTTCTCTGTCTTGAAATTCTCTCCTCCTCTATTGACAGTGTGCTCTCTGTGCTTCATTCATCCCCTCCTGATCATCCTTTCCTTGCTCACCTTCTTTGTCCTGTGGGTCTTCTCAGGGTTCCCTCCCTTACATTCTTCTCTCCAGCCAGAAAATCTGCTTCTGTTTGTCACTAATCTCTCCAGTCCCTGGCTTCTGCCACTACCCACATGAATATGATTCCTAGACTTCCCTCTGGCAGCCCCAGCCCTCTCCAGTTCTTTGGTTTCTTGATATCTGCTGGCACCTCTAATCTGTATGCATTGCTGGTGCCTCAATCCTGCCATGTTTCTGTCTTCTTCCCTCCAGCCTGCTTCACCTCCCATGCTTCCCGTTTCTGTTAAAGATGCTGTTCCTGTCCCAGTCATCCAGGCACAGATGATGATTTGTTTCACCTAGTTGGTCCCCAAACCCCATGGTTGTTCTGCATACACTTCTCGTCACGCCAGCCACTGCTAGTCCAGACCCTGGCTACCTCTCAGCTAGGCCCCAGCTGGAGCCACCTCACTTGGATCTTTACTTCACTTCCTCCGTGGAGACTGAGGCTCTGTTCCACTGCCTCCTGCAGCCTCATGCCCTCATTGTGTTCCCCAGGCCTCTGCAGAGCTCTGCCCGCCTCTTCCACTCTGCCTGTGGCTTGTCTCCCTCTTGTAGCCCTACTGTTTCCCACGTGTGCAGCTCAGTGTCCTGCCTCTGTGCTTTTGTTTAAGTTTTCCCTTCTTCCCATAGGGCTTATTCTCTCCATCTCTTCTTGGTTAATTTTTTTTTTTTTTTTTTTTTTTTTTTGAGACGAAATCTTGCTTTGTTACCAGGCTGGAGTGCAGTGGCACAATCTCGGCTCACTACAACCTCCATCTCCCTGGTTCAAGCACTTCTCTTGCCTCAGCCTCCCAAGTAGCTGGGACAACAGGTGCGTGCCACCACGCCTAGCTAATTTGTATATTTTTAGTAGAGACGGGGTTTCACCATTTTGGCCAGGATAGTCTCGATCTCTTGACCTTGTGATCTGCCCACCTTGGCCTCCCAAAATGCTGGGATTACAGGCATGAGCCACTGCATCCGGCTCTCCATGGTCAATTCTTTAGTGACCAGTTTAAAGACTCCTTCCTTAGAGGAACATTATCCTCTCAATGGGGGCAGTTTCTCAGTTTCTCCTCTGACTAAATTCTTGTTACAGATGATCTCTTTCTCTCTATGGTACTTAACTGCTTGTTCTTTTTCTTGGCACCAGCATTAAAAAAAAATTCTGTAGTTTTGAAGCATAGTATAGTTGTTAAGAGTACAGTTGGGAGTCATACCTGTACTTGAATACAAACTTTCGAAGTTATTAGCTATAGAAGGTGGAAAAGTTTTTTAATATCTCTGAGCCTCAGTCTCTCCATCAAATAGGTATAATGATGCCTTCCTGATTGGGCTGTTGGGAGGACTGAAGGAGATGGTATAAGTCAATATCAGACACATCATATGTCCTCTGTTAGTCCTGTTTCTACCCTTCTCCCTTCTCATTAGGCTGTTAACTTCTTGAGTCTGCATGCATTTTAGTTTTGTATTATGCAGAGCCTTGTGCCTCATATGTAGCAAATAAGGAATAGCTATTAGCTATTAGCCGGATAGCCAATGGACTTGAAAGGACTTTAAAGAGAGCATAGTATAGCCAATGCTTCTACTGTGCCAAAGTCTAGCATTAGAGCAGTGGATAAGCTCAATATGCAGTGTCAACCGGCCAAAAGATTTCTGTATTACCTCAGAAACACAAATAGTTTACACTGCAGATTCATCAGCAAGCATTTGATGATGGAATAATTTAATCGTTTCACAGATGAGTGGATTTTGTATTTTGTTCACATGGAAAATACATCCCCCCCCTCCACCCCACCCCGAGACAGAGTCTCGCTCTGTTGCCCAGGCTGGAGGGCGGTGGTGCCATCTTGGCTCACTGCAACCTCTGCCTCATGGGTTCAAATGATTCTCCCGCCTCAGCCTCCTGAGGAGCTGGGATTACAGGCGCATGCCACCACACCAGCTAATTTTTGTATTTTTAGTAGAGATGGGGTTTCACCATGTTGGTCAGGCTGGTCTCAAATTCCTGACCTCAGGTGATCTGCCTGCCTCGGCTTCCCAAAGTGCTGGGATTACAGGCGTGAGCCACTACGCCCAGCCAGAAAATAAATTTTTGACATTAGCTAAGATAACATCAGGCATTAGGTTGTTAGCAAACATTATTCTATGATACCCAGGCTTGAGATTGTAATTTTAATATTTCAGTTGTTTTATTATGAACAGCTTGGCATTTTGCCCCTCATAGGCTCATGCACGAGAACTGAGT